GGGGAGCGGTTGGGCGGGCGCTCGAAAAGGCATAGAAGCCGCCACGCCTCGCACGCAGACACGCGACCAGCGTCCGACATGGAGACGCATCGTGAAAGTGATTATTCCGTGTTTCCGGGCGCGGCAGCTACCAGAGCTATTATATCTCGAGAGCTACGGGCGACCCTGCCCCTCTGAAAGATGATATCGAGCTACACAGCTTAAGAAGCTTCCCTTAAGCTTAAGAAGTTTCCCTCTCCAGGCATCTCCCCAAGCGGAGCTCCCATCGCAGATGGGACAGGTTTTACGCTCCCGACTAGTCTCCCAACGTATGTTGAAGTGTAGCACATGTAACTCTATGTATGTGTGTGTGTATAAATGGGGAAGGACAGCGAATGTGTTTCATAAGCTACGGCTTCGTCATTCGCCTATTTTAAAATGGAGAAAACGCAGAAAACTACTGATCAGGGTAGCCAGCAACAGAATTCTCCTCCTGTCAACCGGTCGGGACTCGAACCGTAGGAAGACTCGCTCGGGGCCAAGCGGCAACGTTTGAGGTCACTGAGCCAACTCAGCCGATGAGGCATTTTGAGATGACAGTGCGGTCAGAGATAATGACAGAGGTCTGTAAGGCCAAGCATTGCTTTCCATTTAACGCTAAATCAAGAAGTAGTATAGAACTACAGCAAAGTAAAAACCTTGGAAATCGGGGCTTTTTGGTGAGGCGTAGACAAAGCAACTCCTTCTAACCCTTCTCGCCAGCTGCCGGGAAAGACACATCAATCATACAGCCGGCGCCTTAGTGGAAGGGTGCGAAAGGATATGAAGCTACGCAGCGGTCAAATGATGACACTCGATTGGCGCCCTATGCGTGTTGCGCAATTGCCTTCCATGAGCATCAACTGTCACCGATACCGAACGTGTGGCGACAATGTTCTAACCAAGCAACCGAAAGCAGTAGCTCGGCAGTACCCGATGGGTGTGGAGGGAGCACTGCTGTCAATCAAAATTTCAAAACATGACAAGGTGGAAGGTTGTATTTTCTGTGAGGTTGAGCAACGTAAATATTCTATATTCCATTTGTTAGTCAACAATTTGATGCTTGAAGGTAGATATACATTATTATTTACTGTTAATTTATAAAATTACACATGAAAACCAAATTCTGAAACCCATTATGAAAATACCCTAGCCGTAACCCGTGAAAAATGACGTCAATCAAAATGAAGAACATGCTTCTTTTCAATTTAGTATCCAATTCCAATTTCCTATACTCCATGAAATTGTGTTTCCCATACTCCATAAATGTGAGAATGTATCCAGAAGAAAAAGCAATAGCGGTACAGTAGATAAAAGTTACTTGACAGAAATCTGCTGTATACGAGTCGGGTTGTTAAGAAAAAGAGTTATTGAACCTTTTAAGGATTACGAATTTTAACTATTCCGTAAATTCGTAATAAATGACTTAATAATTGCACATAATATAAAACATGTGTGAAATAATTCTTCATTCAACATCAATTATCCAGTAAATCTGAGGTAGCAAATCATAACAATCAACTACTGCTTGGTTAAGAGGTACAAATTGGAAGATAGCTAGCATTTATTTAATTATAAAGTGCTACGATTACGTCCCTCATTAAATTACACACATTACGCCGATCGTCAAATTACGTCCAGCATTCCGTTCACGGTGAACCGACTCCGCAAGCAGCTTAGTCGCACGACGAGCAACCTCCGATCCCCACGGGAGACCGTCGAGGAGCCGAGCCCGCGACGCAAATGGCAGGCCGGAAATCCACGCCCGCTCGTGATCCACTTGCGAGCTGCGCCGGTCGCCACCCACGCCAGGGCGGCCATTAGCAGCGGGGGCCGCGAGGCATTGTATGCAGAGCGCGCGCTCGTTAGAGGAGCGGGCGTTCCGCGTCGGGCTCATAAGCCACAGCGGAGGGCGCGGCCCCAGCGCTGCGCCGGAGAGTTGAACGCGCGACCCCACGGGCAACCGCCGGCGACGCGGAAGCGGCCGGGTCGTCGTCGCTGGGCGTGGAGCTAGAGGGAAGCGGTACGCTCGTACCTCAGGGTTTACGATCCCACAATAGCATCACGTCGATCATAATTATAACGTGTCACTCGGATTTTCGGGGAAAGAACTGGCTTGGTTCCTAAGTCGGAAATCTCAAAATGGACCATCTTTCGGTCTCTATTGTGTGGCGATTGTGTTGATTGAGATGATGATTCTGTGAACAAAGAGCGTTAAGATGGGGAAAGGAAAGACACGGCAAATGGAAGAAACACGAGCGAACAAGCTTGGATCCGACAGGATTCTATATTAGCACGATGGTATTCGCTGAAGATCGGAGATTTCGTGTCGAAGGATGCAGCGCGTCAGAGTTCGCAAAAGTTACATCGTTGAGTACCATTTAAGTCTCCGATAACACAAATGAATTCCAGCCAACCAAATTATTTACTATTGTATATAACAAAATTGTAATTGTAAAAAGGTAGTAACATTACATTTAGATACCACTAACGTAGCACCATCATAGAACTCTGTGAAGTGGATCATTTTTTTCTGTAGAAAGAGAATAGAGGATTTGTAACCCAAGAGAACCATCACGTTAGAAAGCAAAATATTAAACCGTTTCACAAATTTTAAGACCGAATAGCTCCATAAACCTACGTGAATATATCGTGGCCTACAATAAAACACGTCATGCTGCCATTATGAGTCGCACTATTTTTACTCAAGATAACCTGCATACCACAAGCAAAAGAGCAACCTTCTCGAAAAATATGTTGCAATAAGGCAAAATCTGAAGATTTTTTTCTAATGTATTTTCCAAAGTTGCAGAAAAACAGTTAACGCACACAAAAATAGTTTACCTGTTCATGATGAAGAGTTGTAAAAAACAATGGAAGTCCACACCATCTTACCTGAAACAAAGAAATATTTTGTTTAGGTACACGAACGTCAATGCATGCTTTCTCAAAAAAGTGATAATAATAATATTAATAATAATAATGTAGCAAAGAAGTATCATAAAAATAATATAAACAATTAATAATTTACTTTCTATGAAAACACATTATAAAATAAGTAATTCTAAAAGCTAAATTTCTGAAATTTATTGGTGATCAAATGATACAGAAAGGAAAAGTAAGTTTGGTTGAAAATAAAGGCAACGAAAAATTC